AGAGTGTAAGATAGGCTCTGTGAGCTCATCCCCAAGCCTTCATGGTTACCAAAGCCATACTCTGTTTCTCCAAAACGAGCGCATCAAATTAGTTATTAATATTAAAATTTATTTTATTTTATTTGGAAAGGAAGAGAAAAAGAGAGATTATACCCTGATGTAGAGAAATTGTGTGATGGTGAGACTGCAGCGACTTCAAAACTTGATTGCCGGACTCAGACGCTCTGTCAAACAGAAAGTGAAGCTCTCGCATGGCCTCTGCTTCTGCGGAGACACCCCGTTCGTTCTGTTCGTTCTGTTTGTTGTGTTCGAAAGACGTGGCCAAATGAATCGTCTTCTTACTCTTCTCTTTCGGCCTAGTCTGTTGTTCTTCCTGCTGTCCAATGTCATTATTAATATTATTATTTTTATGTTTGATTTTGTCAGCAGCAGGAGTAGCAGCTTCTTCAGGCTCCAAATGAGTAGAAGAATAAAGCGGGGATGGTGAGTATCTCTCCCTGTCATAGGCGTCAAAGAAATTAAACAAATCCCACGTGGAGCTGATTGGAGACGGTGGCGGAGGAGGGGGTTTGGAAGCCAAGCCGCCGCCTAAATTCCTGTAATATTCATCACCATCATTAACTGGAGTTGGCGCTTCGTCCGACTGTTTACGGGGGCCCTTGAGTTCGGTTTCGGATTCGGAGTCGGAAGAGAATTGGAGGTGCGAGGCCGAGTCGGATTCTGATTCTGATTCTGGTGGTCCATTACAATTACAATGATTCTGAATGGTATTAACATCATCGAAGAAACGGTGGAGAGCGGGGCCAAGTGTCCTGAGGGAGGCCAAGTAAGCCACGTGAGCATCGGACATGGCTTGGGTTTGGCTGAGAGCTTCCTCCAGGAACTTGCACCGGTCTCGGCATAAAGCCACCGCCGGAAGATCCTCCACCTTTGAGGCAGCGCACCCCATGTTCACAAGTCTTGACACAACACTGAAAGGGAGAGACAGAGAGAGTGAATAAAATAATTTACCAAATGAAATAAATATTAGGAAGACAGTGCGCTGCGGGATACTAGGCCAACAACATTCTCTGATTTTCTCTGTTTTGGGTTTTCAGAGTGCACAACTTAAGTAGATAAAGGAGGCTTAATTGGTAATTTGGCATTTTTATGGGTATGCGCGTGAGTTTTAATTATCTTTCCTTCCTTAATTTTGTGTGTGTTTGTGTGCGAGGCTGTCGAGGCCGAGGCAGGAAAATTTAACGTCTCTTTGCATTGTTGCCTTCTTTTTATCTTCTATCTCCAAAGGAGATATTAAATACCAAACATCAAATTTAAATTTGATGACAGATGTGGTAATTTCACATCTTATATAGCTTTATACTCTACCCGATATGTCAAATTAAATTATTATTTTATTACATTTTAGTGTTGATTTAATTTTAATTAAAAAGAAAAGAAAAGAAAAAATAATAAAATATTCATTTGACATCTTGCTTTTGATATGTCAAAAATAACATATCAACTTATAGCATTCATTCCACATCAGTTTTGACACATCGGTTGGAGTGATGTGAAATGTTATTTCTAGCCGTTAAATGTCTATGTGCCACTTTTGACACATCGGTTGGAGATGCTCTTATCTGCACTCATACTCACTGAAACAGGAATGGAATTGAAGTTGAAGGCCATCCATTTTGCATTATGATACATTTGAAAACTGCTTAAAATAAAAAAGGTATGTTTTTTTTCTTCTTTTAATTTCATGTTCAAAACAAAGAAAGATGATTCATGAGTAAAAGGTTTATGCGAAAAAGAGAAAATAGGGAAAAGCGTCAAATAATGAATTATGATGTCCAATTAATGACAAATTATGGTAAGTAACCGTTATGGCATGCATGTGGAACTGTAGAAGCAAATTTGGTAAGGAAAGGAAAGGAAAGGAAATAATTCAAAATAACCAGGATTGGTAGGTAGGTAGGTCTAATAGTAAAGCATATGAAGTCAAGGTAGCAAAGAGTGCTCTGCTAGTGATGTTTTCAAAAGCGGTTAGATTCTTGAATCTGATGAAGATATCTTTCATAAAAGGAGGAGATGCTGCTGCAGCGGCATATTCTCATACCATAATATATGGGATGGATATGGTGGTGCAATTCCAACTGGATCAACTTTGTCTGATTCTGTTCGTGTCTCACTTTTATGCTTTGCTTTTCAAGTGGGGGTGGGGAGACGTACGGAGACGACCAGGAGAGAAGAAAAAAGAACCAGAAGACATGGTCCCTGACCCTCTCTGTGTGTACGATTACATGTATTGATTTGATATTGAATCCCATAATCTATGCATTTCTAGGGTTTAGGTAAAGCCACACTTTCTTCTACCTCTCCTCCACCCATCCCATGTCGATCCTTTCAAGAAATTAAAAAAAAAAAACATCATTGGATTGGAGAGGAGCCAAGAGCCAAGAGGGAGGATCGACTACAATTGTCACAGAAAATGCGGATTTGTTTCTGAACGAGACGAGAGCATAATGCATTGGTTGGTTAAGACTTAAGAGTCCAATATACAAATTACAATGGAGTCACGTATCCAGTCAAGTCCATGGTCATCAATCCTTGGCAGCCCATGCCAAAATCTACGCATTACTTTCAGCCTGTTAGTTAACTTAATGATGATTGGATTCAAACTGCCCCGCCCTTTCTTTTCTCTTTTCTTTTTTTCTTGAATATTTATATTTTCTTTATACCTAGCACAACTGCAATGAGTAAAAATCTGCCTTCCATTCAACCTCAGAAACATAACAATATGGACCCGGAAAATTAAAAGAGCTACCTCAATAATTAACTTGAAAATTCGTGCACTACGCTTTTTCCCTCTTTTTCACATAATTAGTCATTCGCTAATCATCGGGTATGTGACACACGCACATTAGTTGTTAGTATTAGCTAATTAGCTAGCTAGGGAATAATTAGGGACCATAGATACCCCTTACCTCTCTACTATATTTATACATGTGTGCGTGTGCGTGCGTTGGTTTGGAAGAAGGAAAACATGCATATTTCTTTGCTTTGCTGTAGCCTTAGCTAAATTCAGCTGTCAATGACGGTGGAGAATATTGCGCACACACACACATATACAGAACAAGAGAAAGTTGATGGGGCACGCATTATGCTTAATTACAAGGGTGAAGGGTCCATTATTGATTAATTGTCGAGCATTAATCTTTTCATCAATCTTCAACGGGAATGATATTCTTTCTTTCTTTCTCATCCCTTCTGCCAATATACACCACACAATTCTATTAATTCGACATACACAAATTAAAAATGACAAGAACAAGAACATCCCAACAAGGAAAAATAGTTAACATTCCTTAATTTCTAGTATAGAAAATACAACTAATATAATTAATTAATTTGAAGAAATAGGCAAGCAATTGGTCGACTGTAATTTACACAAGAAATTAATGAATCCCAAACTTAGAGTAGGGTGAGAGTGTTAAGCAGCGAAACCCTTGCGTAAATCAAACTCCTGAAAACTGTTTCAGAGCAAGTTTCAATGGCGGCGATAGAGACCTCCAGTTCCTGCATTTTCTTCAATGTTATTTTCACCTCTTCTTCTCCTTTCTTTCTTAAATTTCGTAAGCTCTCAACTCCAATATTATTGACTTGTACTACTTTATCAATAATCCTACTATGATACTCGCCATCCTCAACGGCCTCCTTGCACCTCATCAAACCCATTGAAAATAATATAATCCACGACCACCTTGACGACAAGATGTTCGATTTTGATAATGACGTTGTTGGGCCGCCTGATGAGAGTGCTGCAGCGATTCCGTTAAAAAGGGCAAGAGACACCATCACCGTCACTTGAACAACCTCGCTCATAACCCCAGCCAGCTCATGATCAACAATATTACTAGTAGTATAGTAATTACTATCGCCGACATGCTCCAACGGCGAGGCTGCCGGTCCTGGCCTTCCAACAATACAACGAACATGCGTTGACAAGGTTGATCATTTCCTTGGCCATTCTCTTTCTAGCTCTGACGTACAATGCTATCTGGGAGTCGTCTCTCTTCCTCAAAGCGACTTGAGCTGCAGAGTGGTCCTGTTTGAGAGCGAAAACTGAGGTACGGAAGATTCCATAGACGTCAACAAAGCGAAGGAATTGGTCTAGAAGGTTGTCGAGCCAGCAGCAGCTGGCGGAGTGGGAGCGCAGGCGGCGGAGGGAGTCTTGGGTTTGAGGAAGGCGGAGAGTGTCGTCAAGGCAGTGGTGCAAGTCTCTGAGGCGGGTCAAGCCTTGGCAGAGCCAATCAGAGAAGGAGAAAGAGGCCGTCGCCCATGATTGAAGGTGAGCGATGTGATCCTTGAGCTGGGAAATCAAGGGGTGAGATCTGGTTGGGAGACTGATGGATCTGGTGTGATGAGACAACATGGGTGCTCGCACTTTTGCCTGACGGTTATTTGGAATGATTTTGTTGGGGAAAGAAAGCGACCGCCGGAAAACGCCTGTCATAATGTCTTCGACTTACGTACGTACAGGCTGTATTAATTTGTAGAACGTTGTTGAGATCGAAGTGTATATATATACTGTGTATGTGGATGATCAATAATCAATAATATTATTCATTGGATGAATTGATGATCTATTGTATGTATGGGCAAGTTAACTTAATCATACAGCTGATCGCTTAGCTGTTTTATATCTTCTTCCTTCTACTCCACAGTCTACTCCCTCAACCAATCATGTGGTGTGGGAGAGGGAACAGTTCCACGTGGTCAGTTCAATCTTTCTTTTTCTTTTTCTTTGCAACTTTTTAAGAAAAAAAAAATAATAAGAAACGCTTGCAGTCAGAGTCAGTCATAAATTGGGGTGTGTCTACGGTCCATTGACCAGGCTGGAATCCCAGCAACATCCTTGGCTCTTAATAATTGAAGTTAAATAAAATAATATTTCACCAGCTAGATGGCCTCCCCTAGTTTTGGAATTCCAAACGCAGCGTTGCAACTTGCATGCTCATACCATTGGCATCCAGACATGACAGACAGACATGCCTGACCTGAAGAATAAGATGTCAAATAATTATTATGGATGTTCATTTTGTATTTACACAAGAATTCGAAATTAAGTCAGAAATTCCGTGTCCCACCACGGGCCATGAGTCATGACTCCCATCCTTCCCATTAGGCATTATTTGATTATGTATAACGGCAACGTGAAGTGAAGATGGTATATATAGGCTTAGCATATGGATGATCAAGTATATTTTGTCAAACGGTAGGCTTAGCATACATACATATATATATATATATATATCTTTCATTGAAGAATTTTTGAAATAAGCTTATTTGAGGGACATCTTTATAGGGTCCACTTCGTATTGTATTTCACACAATAGGCTTAACACATACTGTTAGATTATACACAGTGGCGTTGAGTCACCTCACGATGTAGGATAGAAAGGTATCTTATTTTATTTATTTATTAGTTTTTGAAAACTTTTTCTATTAAGATGAACAATCATATACTAAATTCACACAGACACTACAGGAATGCTATGACTCAAACTGAAGACATTTTTTAAAATAACAATTGCTCCAAACCACTACATTCATGGCTCCTTTGTTTACTTATTATAACAACCAACTACACTCATGGTCCTTTATTTACTTATTATAACAACCAAGAATGTGTCACATTTATGTCAGTATTTATTTTATTAATTTTCAGGACATGCGGTGGATTGGTCCAGTATTTATTTTATCGATTTCAAGTAAGTAGAGAGAGTAGATAGAAAGATTTGATTTGATGAATTAATAATAATGGATGGTGATCATCATCCAAAAGTGGAAGAGGAGAGGGCGAAGCAGAGAAGGGAGGAGGTAAAGCAGAAAGAGAAGGAAGACGGATCAAGGACGAAGCCACTAACATTTGAAGCCTACGGTGGTGGAATGTACGGTAGAGACGAGGGTGAAACTGAAATAGCGGCAAATAAGCCACCGGCCAGTGAGACGCAGAGTGCTGACGGACCTGATGAAGCCACCACCCGACCCCCCAAGCATCCACCGGCGACCGAGACCTTGATATCACTGACCAAACCTATATTCAGTAATTAGTACAATATCAATATATTGCACTGCATCTGCCTACTATATATATTTCAATTTACCCCTCTTTCCATTTCCATTTCCATGTAAAATAAATAAATAAATTTCAAAACTTGTTTTTGAAGAGCCACTACATAGTCGTACTCATACATACTAGTGGTTTTTGTTGTTTAAGTTGTAGCCATTTACCACGGCCTTTTTGATTGGGCCACACGCAAAGGGTACTCAGCCATTTACCATATTATAAGTGGCGAAATCATAAGTGAAGAAGGGCTTCTGTGCCACTGACTGAGGCGTCCCAGGAAGATAAATATTTCACGGCCATCGGAAATTCTCCACAAAAAATGTATTTTTTTTGGCTTCAAGCCTTAAACCCAAGAAAACCCAACAAGACAGAGACTAAGAAATCCCAAAATTCCATTAAAAAAACCTAATCACATCGTAAGTTGTACAAGTTTTGAATTGTGAAGCACATGTAGAGTAGAGATGCTCTGTCCTAACAATATTCTATATCATTAAAATAAGAGAATTTACGAATCCAAAATTACTCTCTATATTTCTTTACCCTATCGTTGAACAGAAGAGAAAAAGTTATCGAGCCAGGCAGGATTTTTGTTCAGTGGGGTGGCGCAAGCACCCCAATGCTACAAATCTCGTCCACTGGCGGTGCCTCCCAGTTAGCAGTTTTGTTTTTCATTTGGTTGAAATCATCAATGCACTGCTTCACCGTCAACCCCAAAACTCGCTTTCGCTCGGCAGCGAATTTCCGGCCAGCAACTCGGTCAAATGTGTTCTGCCAACCCTTTTCCCATGCGCCATGGGCATCACAAAGCTGGAGCGTGCCGTTGGCCCAGGGGGTCCAGCTCCACCCTCTCTGCAGGCTAAGCATCACATCCGCTACACAAGGGCCTTGGCACACAGGCCTGCAGGGCCTGCACTTGGCCCCGCTCAATGGGCCTGGGCTTGACAGCGACGCCACTGGCACTCCGAAACGGCTTGGTGGGAAGCCGTATTGGCGGTCCGTTACGATACAAAAGGGGAGTTGTTTAGTGACGTATGGCACCCTTTGGGTGGTGAGTTGGGCCTTGAAGGCGGTTTCCGAGTTGAGCTGGCGGAACCCACCCGCGTCGAGTTTGGGAATGAGGGAGAGGCGCGACAGGGCGACTATGGAGCTGTTGAGGTCGCCAACTCCGAAGCGGTCGTTGAGTCCGCCGAAGCTGGAGCCCGGAGGGACCAGGTACTGTCCCCGCACAAAGTGTTTAGGGTGGAGCGGGGCGTTCCAGTAGCCGTCTACTCGGGTTCGGACTATCCAGTCGTAGATGAAGTTGTTTTGTGTTTGGTATGCTTGGATCATAGTTAGGCAGCCTTCCACCAGGTGGAAGTATTGCAAAAGGCCCTGCATACACATTGTCAACACATGACCCAGAAATTAAGATAACAGACACAAGCACATTCATCGGTTACGTAATTCTAATTTTCGCAGTTGATTGCAGATTCATTAAAAGTGTTGTTAGTCTTTTAAATGTGATTCAAGAGTCGAGATTAGAAATGTATAACAAATTCTTGACAAAAAAACTAAAAAACAACAGTGACCTCATACGACTTTATTGAAACATTTAATATTGGTAAGTGTGCGAAACACTTTTGAATTACTTGGCGGAGAAAAATGAAAAAAAAAAAAAAAAAAAACTTGAAATACAATAATGAATTAATTTGAAGAAAAAAAAAAAGTTTCAAATTTTACTTTTAAATGACTATGGCAGCAAGAAAAATGGGAATAGACAACTAAAACGACAGCAAGAAGAAATAAATGCAAACGCGTTACTCCCAATTCCCATTTACAAAAGCAACAGATACGACGATTAGACACGTTCGTTTCTTTGTGGTTTTTGGTCAACAAACCCAAATTAATTCATCGTTAATTTGTCTTTGTTCATCAGATTCAGATACATGCCAAAACTATCATAAATCAAATATTAATCACATTAATCAGTAAATATTTATTATAATTTTTTGAGGAAAAAAAAAGGAAAAAGAAAAGAAAAGAGGGGACAAGAAGTGAGAAAGAAAACCTGAATGCCATTGGGCGAGTTGTGAGCGGTTAGGACTCGGAGCTGGAACTCAGTCTCGAACATCGGTTTGGGGTGGAAGATTCTGACGGAGGCGATCCTAGGGGCGGCCTTGAGGAGCGAGAACTTGAAGGCGTTGGGGTCCATAGGGCTGTGCAGAAAAAGATCGGAATTCGGATATTGGTTTAGAATCTTGTCCACGACGGACGGCCCCGTGAGCTCGAACCTCCGGGCCCCACCAACCAAACACACGGCTATTCTGGACCGATGCAAATCGTCATCCTTGCGCTTCTTCAACGACTCGTCGGTCCCATTCCGATTGGACTCACTAGTTGTAGAATTGAGAGTGTTTAGGGTTGTTATGTTGAGGGGCGGCTGCTGGAACTGGAAGGCACGGCCGCGAAGGAAAGATCGAATGGGAGCAAACGGAGAGAGGGGGAAATTGGTGGGAGAGTAAGAAAAAGAAGATGAGAGTGAGAGGAAGACGATAAAAAAGAGGGGAGGGATGACTAACAGAAGTAGCCGCCAATCAAGATCGGAAAACCATTTTGTGAAATACTTGGCCATCATTCTCTGAGGCTCAAGGAACTCCTCTTTACCTCCTTCTCTTGTAGATGATGTTGGATCCAATTTTTTCCATTCCCACCCAATTCGCGCACATAGAGAAAATTGGGTGACTTTGGGTTTACTCCTCACCTGAAGTTTAATCACAATTTTTTTATTTCCTTTTTCCTTTCCTAAACTCTCTTTTGGGTGTGAAGGAGGATGGCAAGGACTTTTGGTGTGAGTCTCATGAGGTTTAGAGGATAATTATGTGATATTCGATGATTTCAATTCTAATTTTTTCCATATTAAACGAAAGAAATGATTTTTTTTACCTAAAGAAATATTGGCATGGTGGTTTTATTTAGAAAAATACTTCTCTTGTTATCATGTAAGTAGGGAAAAAAACTTATTTATAACATAAATAACATTATTCTATTATTCTTGACCAATAATATTATGATACGTGAAAAAATTATCTAATGTGTCATTATGTTATTGGGCGGAAATAATAAAAGGTATTATCACTGTTGTATGAGACTACATTCCTACTAATAGCAGTATGATATTTGTGTATAATTGCTTCTTTTTGTGTAATTGATAAATTGTTTTTGCACATATATTAGATAATAATTCACAAGAAGAAAGAGTATCTCTTTATATGGAAGGAAAATCAATATCCATTTATTTATTAGAGAGGAAAAGTAAAAGGTTTGAAGAGCATAAGCAACTCATAGGTCCTTTATCCTGCAGAGGCCGCTGTTTATCTTTGACCTAGCGTTTTCTCTCTACTTTTTATTCACTCCTATGGCTGGGTTTTCTTGGTCTTTTATTTGATGCTAGTGTGGCTTGTTGGGCTCTGGGCTTACAAATGTTTTCTGCTTGTCGGGCTTTGGTTTGACTTAAACATGGAACAAACTCTTCAACATTTTATGTTGGGCTTCTACGTTGGTTTTACGAATTAGCCCACAATGGAATATGAAATAATGAAAAAAATGAAAAATGGAAGGTATTTGTTTGGTAATTGGCCGTTGTGAAATGCAGGAATCAATCTCTGTCAGTCGGTGTTGTAAGCGCCGGGTTGGGTTGCATGCAACAAGTCCACAAAGATTGTGGTGGTGTAATCAGGCAGTGCAGCAGCAGCAGCAGCCATGCAAGGAGGATCGTCGGGCATCGGATATGGTCTGAAATACCAGGTCAATTCCATTCTTCTTCTTTTTGTCCTTTCCCAAATTCATAAACCCTCTGATTCTGAATTTCTGATTGTAACTCTATCCCCATGTTCTGAGAGGTCCAGGCTAGATGTATATCAGATGTTAAAGCTGACACAGATCATACTAGCTTCATCACCGGCACTCTCAGTCTCAAAGAAGAAAATGAGGTTCACCTTCTTCGTCTTCCACAAATTTTATAAATAAATATATAAAATGGGAGTTCGTATTCTGGATCTGGATCTTTTAATCTAATGAATGGGATTGAAATTGAATAGGTGCATTTGATTCGGCTCTCTTCGGATGGAACCGAACTCGTATGCGAGGGTTTGTTTTCGCACCCCAACGAGATCTGGGACCTTGCTTCCTGTCCCTTCGACCAGCGCATCTTCTCTACTGTTTATTCTACGGGTAATTTATTCTCCATTTTTGTTTTCTTATTATTTATTTATTTATTTGTTTGTCCCACCTTTTGTGTTGCTGCAATATGATTGGCGCTCAACCTGATGCTTATGCATTGCCATGTTGTGAATGATTTGTTAGTAATGCATGAAGCTGGATCATATTTTTGTGGTTCTGTGGTCCATAAAGTCAGAATTGGGAATTTGATTGCTTCGTAATTTGGTATTTGAACCCATTAGGATAAGCTTGTCAATTGCATTGCTGAAATCCAAATATAAACAACGACGGCTGGTTGAGTGTTGAAATCCAAATATTAACCTTTCAACAAAGCTTTTTGGACTTTTTTTTTTCTTTTTCTTTTTTGAGTGAGTATATCTGCCAAAATACTTTGATTACATATTTCCACTATTAGTTGGATGGTTTACTCTTTTATTTTTCTTATTGCTCTATATGTTTATGCTAATAATGCTAGCTAGAAATCATCATCTGTTAATTTATCTTTTCTATATATTTTTTTCTTTCAATTCTCTGCAAATCTGGTATGTCGGACATTGGGATTGTTTTCTTTATATAAAGTTCAATGTGCTTGAAGGTGAGTCACATGGAGCAGCGATATGGCAGATCCCCGAGTTATATGGTGAACTGAATTCCCCTCAGTTGGAAAGAATTACCTCCCTTGACTCACAAATTGGCAAGATTAAATGGTCAGTATGCTTACCCTCGTCTATCCCTGGGCATATTTAATTTCCCAATTGCGTTTCATGAATTTCAGTTTTATCT